AGGAGGAGCGAGGGTGGGTGAGAGATGGCAGGGAGGAGGAGTTGAGGGTGGGTGAGAGAAGACAGGGAGAAGGAGCGAGGGTGAGTGAGAGATGGCAGGGAGGAGTGAGGGTAGTGAGAGAAGACAGGGAGAAGGAGCGAGGGTGAGTGAGAGATGGCAGGGAGGAGGAGTGAGGGTGGGTGAGAGAAGACAGGGAGAAGGAGCGAGGGTGAGTGAGAGATGGCAGGGAGGAGGAGTGAGGTGGGTGAGAGAAGACAGGGAGAAGGAGTGAGGGTGGGTGAGAGAAGACAGGAGAAGGAGCGAGGGTGGGTGAGAGAAGACAGGGAGAAGGAGCGAGGGTGGGTGAGAGATGGCAGGGAGGAGGAGTGAGGGTGGTGAGAGAAGACAGGGAGAAGGAGCGAGGGTGGGTGAGAGAAGACAGGGAGAAGGAGCGAGGGTGGGTGAGAGATGGCAGGGAGGAGAGTGAGGGGGGTGAGAGAAGACAGGGAGAAGGAGCGAGGGTGGGTGAGAGAAGACAGGGAGAAGGAGCGAGGGTGGGTGAGAGATGGCAGGGAGGAGGAGCGAGGTGGGTGAGAGATGGCAGGGAGGAGGAGTGAGGGTGGGTGAGAGAAGACAGGGAGAAGGAGCGAGGGTGAGTGAGAGATGGCAGGGAGGAGTGAGGGTAGGTGAGAGAAGACAGGGAGAAGGAGCGAGGGTGAGTGAGAGATGGCAGGGAGGAGGAGTGAGGGTGGGTGAGAGAAGACAGGGAGAAGGAGCGAGGGTGGGTGAGAGATGGCAGGGAGGAGGAGTGAGGGTGGGTGAGAGAAGACAGGGAGAAGGAGTGAGGGTGGGTGAGAGAAGACAGGCAGGAAGAGCGAGGGTGGGTGAGAGAAGACAGGGAGGAGGAGCGAGGGTGGGTGAGAGAAGACAGGGAGAAGGAGCGGGGTGGGTGAGAGAAGACAGGGAGAAGGAGCGGGGGTGGGTGAGAGATGACAGGGAGGAGGAGCGAGGGTGGGTGAGAGATGGCAGGGAGGAGGAGTGAGGGTGGGGTGAGAGAAGACAGGGAGAAGGAGCGAGGGTGGGTGAGAGAAGACAGGGAGAAGGAGCGGGGTGGGTGAGAGATGACAGGGAGGAGGAGCGAGGTGGGTAGAGAAGACAGGGAGAAGGAGCGAGGTGTGGGTGAGAGAAGACAGGGAGAAGGAGCGAGGGTGGGTGAGAGAAGACAGGGAGAAGGAGCGAGGGTGGGTGAGAGATGAGACAGGGAGGAGGAACGAGGGTGGGTGAGAGAAGACAGGGAGAAGGAGGAGGGTGGGTGAGAGAAGACAGGGAGAAGGAGCGGGGGTGGGTGAGAGATGACAGGGAGGAGGAGCGAGGGTGGGTGAGAGATGGCAGGGGAGGAGGAGTGAGGGTGGGTGAGAGAAGAAGCAGGGAGAAGGAGCGAGGGTGAGTGAGAGATGGCAGGAGGAGAGTGAGGGTGGGTGAGAGATGGCAGGGAGGAGGAGTGAGGGTGGGTGAGAGAAGACAGGGAGAAGGAGCAGGGTGAGTGAGAGATGGCAGGGAGGAGGAGTGAGGGTGGGTGAGAGAAGACAGGAGAAGGAGTGAGGGTGGGTGAGAGATGGCAGGAGGAGGAGTGAGGGTGGGTGAGAGATGGCAGGGAGGAGGAGTGAGGGTGGGTGAGAGAAGACAGGGAGAAGGAGCGAGGGTGGGTGAGAGATGGCAGGGAGGAGGAGTGAGGGTGGGTGGAGAGAGGGAGAGGAGTGAGGTGGGGAGAGATGAAGGAGAGGAGAGGTGGGTGAGAGATGGCAGGGGGAGGAGTGAGAGGGTGAGGGGTGAAGAGATGGCAGGGAGGAGGAGTGAGTGAGAGATGGCAGGAGGAGGAGAGGGTGTGAGAGAGACAGGAAAGGAGTGAGGTGAGTGAAGATGGCAGGAGGAGGAGAGGGTGGGTGAGAGAAGACAGGGAAAGAGTGAGGGTGGGTGAGAGATGGCAGAGAGGAGGAACGAGGGTGGGTGAGAGAAGACAGGGAGAAGGAGTGAGAGGTGGGTGAGAGAAGACAGGGAAGGAGTGAGGTGGGTGAGAGAAGACAGGGAGAAGAGTGAGGGTGGGTGAGAGAAGACAGGGAGAGGAGTGAGGGTGGGTGAGAGAAGACAGGGAGAAGGAGTGAGGGTGGGTGAGAGAAGACAGGGAGGAGTGAGGGTGGGTGAGAGAAGACAGGGAGAGGATGAGGGTGGGTGAGAGAAGACAGGCAGAAGAGCGAGGGTGGGTGAGAGAAGACAGGGAGAGGAACGGGGTGGGTGAGAGAAGACAGGGAGAAGGAGCGGGGTGGGTGAGAGAAGACAGGGAGAGGAGCGGGGTGGGTGAGAGATGACAGGGAGGAGAGCGAGGTGGGTGAGAGATGGCAGGGAGGAGGAGTGAGGGTGGGTGAGAGAAGCAGGGAGAAGAGCGAGGGTAAGTGAGAGATGCAGGGAGAGGAGTGAGGGTGGTGAGAGATGGCAGGGAGGAGGAGTGAGGGTGGGTGAGAGAAGACAGGGAGAAGGAGCGAGGTGGATGAGAGATGGCAGGGAGGAGGAGAGGGTGGGTGAGAGAAGACAGGGAGAAGGAGCGAGGGTGGGCGAGAGATGGCAGGGAGGAGGAGCGAGGTGGGTGAGAGAAGACAGGGAGAAGGAGTGAGGGTGGGTGAAGAGATGGCAGGGAGGAGGAGTGAGGGTGGGTGAGAGAAGACAGGGAGAAGGAGTGAGGGTGGGTGAGAGATGGCAGGGAGGAGGATGCGAGGTGGGTGAGAGATGGCAGGGAGGAGGAGTGAGGGTGGGTGAGAGAAGACAGGGAGAAGGAGCGAGGGTGGGTGAGAGATGGCAGGGAGGAGGAGTGAGGGTGGGTGAGAGAAGCAGGGAGAAGGATGAGGGTGGGTGAGAGATGAGCAGGGAGGAGGAGTGAGGTGGGTGAGAGATGGCAGGGAGGAGGAGTGAGGGTGGGTGAGAGAAGACAGGAGGAAGGAGCGAGGGTGAGTGAGAGATGGCAGGGAGGAGGAGTGAGGGTGGTTGAGAGAAGACAGGGAGAAGGAGTGAGGGTGGGTGAGAGATGCAGAGAGGAGGACGAGGGTGGGTGAGAGAAGACAGGGGAGAAGGAGTGAGGGTGGGTGAGAGAAGACAGGGAGAAGGAGTGAGGGTGGGTGAGAGAAGACAGGGAGAAGGAGTAGGGTGGGTGAGAGAAGACAGGGAGAGGAGTGAGGGTGGGTGAGAGAAGACAGGGAGAAGGAGTGAGGGTGGGTGAGAGAAGACAGGGAGAAGGAGTGAGGGTGGGTGAGAGAAGACAGGGAGAAGGAGTGAGGGTGGGTGAGAGAAGACAGGGAGAAGGAGTGAGGGTGGGTGAGAGAAGACAGGGAGAAGGAGTGAGGGTGGGTGAGAGAAGACAGGGAGAAGGAGTGAGGGTGGGTGAGAGAAGACAGGGAGAAGGAGTGAGGGTGGGTGAGAGAAGACAGGGAGGAGTGAGGGTGGGTGAGAGAAGACAGGGAGAAGGAGTGAGGGTGGGTGAGAGAAGACAGGGAGAAGGAGTGAGGGTGGGTGAGAGAAGACAGGGAGAAGGAGTAGGGTGGGTGAGAGAAGACAGGGAGAAGAGTGAGGGTGGGTGAGAGAAGACAGGGAGAAGGAGTGAGGGTGGGTGAGAGAAGACAGGGAGAAGGAGTGAGGGTGGGTGAGAGAAGACAGGGAGAAGGAGTGAGGGTGGGTGAGAGAAGACAGGAGAAGGAGTGAGGGTGGGTGAGAGAAGACAGGGAGAAGGAGTGAGGGTGGGTGAGAGAAGACAGGGGAAGAAGGAGTGAGGGTGGGTGAGAGAAGACAGGGAGAAGGAGTGAGGGTGGGTGAGAGAAGACAGGGAGACAGACGAGGAGGAACAAAGGAGGGAGAAACTGACCCATCATTTCTTCTATATTTTGCAATTTCTATTTAGAGAACTGGATCTAAAACTTTCTTAAAACCTGGAGATACACAATGTAATTATAAATTTAGATCTATAATAAAACACTCTAACCACAGTAACAAAGTGGTTCATAATCTGATGGTTATAATCATAAAGGCATGAAGGGGTAAGCCAGCGGAAGGCATCGGTCAGATGACCAAAAGCTCCAGTAGCGAGTCATCATATGACTAAGACCCGCGTCAGGAAACACCTTTCCTAACCTAACAGTGAAAATCAATATTATTCCAAGAGCTTTCACGATTTCTTACTGTTACTTTGATAATGTTAGAAATCAGGAAATCCCTTGGACTACCACCGCTAGTACTACTACTAATAATAATTTTCACTATTTCATCGCCTCTTCCTCTACAATTTTTTGTAATACTTTAATAAGGTTCATTAGCGAGACAGGCCTATAGTTTAATGGGCCTTCCTTATCACCTTTTATTAAATATGGCCACAATTCTCCAACATATTAATCAGATATCTTAAATTTTCTTAAAGTAGATAGGACAAGTGTGAATATAAATCCAGATGTACTCCTGTTAGCCATTTTGGGGCCTAGTTCATAGGCCTTTTATTAATCCACATGTTCTTGTGTGACCGTCCACAGAATGGATATGGGTTGTACAATAAACTAGCCACTACCGTCCACAGAATGGATACGGGTTGTACAATAAACTAGCCACTACCGTCCACAGAAAGGATATGGGTTGTACAATAAACTAGCCACTACCGTCCACAGAAAGGATACGGGTTGTACAATAAACTAGCCACTACCGTCCACAGAATCAATGGATACAGGGCGCACGATAAGCTAGCCACTTCGGCGGTAAAATCAAATTAATTCAAAGATCTCAGAGTGCATTTTTAAATCTACACTACATACCACTGTCATATGCCTGAAATACGTGTCCTCACAACCAGTGTTGTATGCCTCATACATAAATGTGGCCTCACAACCAGTGTAAATAAATAATACCTTCTCATAAATATTTGAATAATTTCCTAATCGTAAATTCTAATTATTATCCCATACTCTGTAACAAGAGTGGCTTATAATACTCACTTGACTGACTACTGTCTGAGAAGGCGCTGGAGCAGTGTGAAAACACTTGTCAAACTCTGGATTAGTGTGGAAGGTTAAGAAGATGTACAGTACGATCCAGATTAGTGTGGAAGGTTAAGTTGTAGAATACAATCCAGATTAGTGTGGAAGGTTAAGTTGTAGAATACAATCCAGATTAGTGTGGAAGGTTAAGTTGTAGAATACAATCCAGATTAGTGTGGAAGGTTAAGTTGTAGAATATAATCCAGATTAGTGTGGAAGGTTAAGAAGAAGTAGAGAATGCAATCCAGAATAGTGTGGAAGGTAGAGAGTACGTAGACTATAATCCAGAACAGAACAGTGAGCGCCTGGATGAACACACGCTACAAACACACTCACGACCAACACGCAACTGAGCACCCACCTGCCGTTTTCTACACGGCCCCGCCTCTTCCCCTAGCCTCCAGCCACAACAAAATGTCAAAAGGTGCAAGAGGACACAGCACAGGATATATACACCGACTGGTGTGCGTGTATATATATCTCAAGAGTGTGTATGTACACCGTAATCCTGAAGGCTACGATGCTCTTCACCAACTCCAAGACTGAGGGACTGTTTACCTCATCTTTTGTATATATTTCTACATTCTTCACATTATGTCCTTGTATTGATAAAGCCACTGGATGGCGAAACATCTACAAATATGTTCAGATGTTGCACATGTGTCTAATTCCGCATTTTGTCGGTATTATACACCATTCATATACAAAGTATTCTTGACTGGTGGTGTACAGGTGATATGCAGCCTTAATGACTCTTGTGTAGTGGATAGGCTTTAAAACCCATTAACTAATTTACTAAGAGAGACGCCTCGTGTATCATCAGCACCATCTTTCGGGAGGGGGATGATTTATTTCCAACATACTGTTGCCAGTTCATGCAATGTGCAAGTTATGTTGCTAAAGTGTCATGTGTTACGCGGCCAAGATTTACTTACCTCATAATGTTTCCATCTCAGTTATTATTATGGAAGTTGTGGGATGTTAGTGCCATCTGTTGAGTGGGAGCAGAGTTGTTTATAATCTTGATCGTGTATTGGCGTGCTTTGTCAGGGCCATCTGTTGAGTAGGAGGTGAGTTATTCCTGTCATTATGTATTGCAAACTCATGTATATGTGTGTGTGTGTGTGTGTGTGTGTGTGTGTGTGTGTGTGTGTGTGTGTGTGTGTGTGTACGCATGCGCGCAGTTCTCCAACTCATGCCACTTGCTTACCATCCTAAGAACGAAGAAATCTTGTACCATATCCGGCTGACTTACCTATGGTAGTAGCTATCATTTCTGTTCCTTCGACCAGTACCTGTCACTGTCTCTTCTATCAAATCCTCCGAGTATCTTCTACGTCATTATCATGTCTTCCCTGGTCTCTCTCTTCCAAGGTTATGTATACAAACTTGAGCTTCTCAGATTCGAACGCAGTCAAGTTGTGAACCTCTGAACCTTCTCCAGCTTCTGAGCGTAGCCCTCTAAGTGGTACTGCATATTCTAACATCCGGCATGTACAGTGTCTTCGAGAAGTCTTTATTGTGGTATTTGAAGGTAATTCTATGATTTACTAGTTTTGTTTATGCAGTTAATATGCCCTTCTTGCGATATATTCGATGTAATGTTTACTTTCAGACCCTTCTCATTAACTGATTTTTGCAGTTTCCTTCCTCCCAGTTTATACACTCTACATTGTCTTCCTGAACACACTCAGATTTGCACGAACCTGCACTTGTTTGTATTAATCTCCAATAAACACTTGCCTGACCACTCGTGGCATCTGTCCAAGTCTTTTATCTAGCTTATATATTCTCCTGTTCTTATTCTCCTCATTAGTTTCATGTCATCAGCAAATAGCAATAACTAATATTTTGTTCCCTCTGGCAGGGAGATGTAAGGGCCCTAACACTGACCCTTGACGGACCCTCGACTGGTACTCTCACCCATCTATTCGTTTTGTACTTATGTACTCTGAGCATTTTTTTCCTTGTGCCCAAGCCAAGTCTTTCAGTTAGTGGCGTACTTTGTAGTGTTATATTGCGATGACTGTCTTAGTAAAGTTAACCCATTCTTTTCCCTCTCTTGTTTCATTTACGTTATTCTATCATGTAATTTCAGAAGGTTCGTGAGATATATTATAAATGGTAAACAATACCGACACGTTGATGAGCAAGACACATGCAACAATGGCTGTCTATACTGACCAAATATTTCGCCTTCACTGTCTTCATCAGTCGATTACAAGAATGAATTACGATCCAGGAGACAATAGACGAAGTGGAGAATACAAATTACAACAAACTTACGTCATAAAAGTGCTCAGAAACGTCGAAATCTGCAATGATAACATAAATTTTTATGGATTTTTTTTTATTTTTTTTTTAATCCAAAAAATATATAAAAAAAATATAGAAAAATGTATTTAACCATATAAAAATAAAAGTTATTTTACTTTAACACTTAAACACCTTTCTAGAAATATTTTCAAGTGACTTCATAGAAACATCTGTGACCTTCACGCTGCCAGAGTTGTCTATGTAAACACAAGACATCGGGTAACATAATAACGTAAGAAAGGAGGAACACTGCAGCAGGCCTACTGGCCCATACTAGGGAAGTCCTTTCTCAGACCCAAACCCACTAAAAAATATTTGCCCAACCCCTTTTCGAATGCTCCTTACATCTGCTGCTGCTCTTCACTGTAGATACCCGGGAGTTAGCTGACTGTTATGGCTGGCATCCTGGCCAGGTGGTACTGTATGTATTAAGACAGGAGCAGACTCTGGTATGATCTAAGGTAGAAAAACAGCTACAGAGAGGAAACTTTGCTGTGACGTTTCGCCTGTAGATCAGGCTCCTTCATCTGTTTTTGTGGGTGGCATTCTGGGGAAGGTGAAGACAGAATACCTAACATAAGAATATAAAAAAGGAGGAACACTGCAGCAGGCCTACTGGCCCATACTTGACAGGTCCTTGTCGAACCAAAACCTACTAACAAAATAATTCGCCAAACCCATTATTAATGTTACCCAAGAAATAAGCTTCGAAATGTGCTTAAGTAAATTCAATGACGTATGAACACAACACAAATCTGAGAAGAAGAACGTGAAGAACGTAATTCAAAGATGCGTCTCCAACTTCGTATAACATAACCAGTGACACACATGACGAATATCACATTCTCAACGATATTATAAAAGGCAGTGAACTCAGTACCAACATACGTGGGGATGACAAGCCTGCACTATACAGTCTCAATATACAGGGAACAACAAGCCTGCTACTGCACTATACAGTCTCAATATACAGGGAACAACAAGCCTGCTACTGCACTATACAGTCTCAATATACAGGGAACAACAAGCCTGCTACTGCACTATACAGTCTCAATATACAGGGAACAACAAGCCTGCTACTGCACTATACAGTCTCAATATACAGGGAACAACAAGCCTGCTACTGCACTATACAGTCTCAATATACAGGGAACAACAAGCCTGCTACTGCACTATACAGTCTCAATATACAGGGAACAACAAGCCTGCTACTGCACTATACAGTCTCAATATACAGGGAACAACAAGCCTGCTACTGCACTATACAGTCTCAATATACAGGGAACAACAATCCTACAACTGCAGAATACAATCTCATATATTAACGTCTTGAGAACCAACACATGAATATACACAGACATTTTAAACAAGATATTTCACACGACTGACTCCTTTGTTGCCATCAGGTAATATACAACGAGAGGTATATATCTGTGTGTACATGCACAGCTTATTTTAATTCCTCTTCTTGGCTGGTGGTTAACAGGTGACGTGTATAGTTACTGGGCCGTGTGCAGGTGACGTGTAGTTACCGAGCCTCGTGCAGGTGACGTGTAGAGTTACTGAGCCTTGTGCAGGTGACGTGTAGAGTTACTGAGCCTTGTGCAGGTGACGTGTAGAGTTACTGAGCCTTGTGCAGGTGACGTGTAGAGTTACTGAGCCGTGTGCAGGTGACGTGTAGAGTTACTGAGCCTTGTGCAGGTGACGTGTAGAGTTACTGAGCCTTGTGCAGGTGACGTGTAGAGTTACTGAGCCGTGTGCAGGTGACGTGTAGAGTTACTGAGCCTTGTGCAGGTGACGTGTAGAGTTACTGAGCCGTGTGCAGGTGACGTGTAGTTGCCGAGCCTCGTGCAGATGACGTGTATAGTTACTGAGCCTCGTGCAGGTGACGTGTAGAGTTACTGAGCCTTGTGCAGGTGACGTATAGTTACCGAGCCTCGTGCAGGTGACGTGTAGAGTTACTGAGCCTCGTGCAGGTGACGTGTAGTTACCGAGCCTCGTGCAGGTGACGTGTAGAGTTACTGAGCCTTGTGCAGGTGACGTATAGTTACCGAGCCTCGTGCAGGTGACGTGTAGAGTTACTGAGCCTTGTGCAGGTGACGTGTAGTTACCGAGCCTCGTGCAGGTGACGTGTAGAGTTACTGAGCCTTGTGCAGGTGACGTGTAGAGTTACTGAGCCTCGTGCAGGTGACGTGTAGAGTTACTGAGCCTTGTGCAGGTGACGTGTAGTTACCGAGCCTCGTGCAGGTGACGTGTAGAGTTACTGAGCCTTGTGCAGGTGACGTGTAGTTACCGAGCCTCGTGCTGGTGACGTGTAGTTACCGAGCCTCGTGCAGGTGACGTATAGTTACCGAGCCTCGTGCAGGTGACGTGTAGAGTTACTGAGCCGTGTGCAGGTGACGTGTAGTTACCGAGCCTCGTGCAGGTGACGTGTAGTTACCGAGCCTCGTGCAGGTGACGTGTAGTTACCGAGCCTCGTGGAGGTGACGTGTAGAGTTACTGAGCCTTGTGCAGGTGACGTATAGTTACTGAGCCTCGTGATGGTGACGTACAGTTACTGAGCCTCGTGCTGGTGACGTACAGTTACTGAGCCTCGTGCTGGTGACGTACAGTTACTGAGCCTGGTGCTGGTGACGTACAGTTACTGAGCCTCGTGCTGGTGACGTACAGTTACTGAGCCTCGTGCTGGTGACGTACAGTTACTGAGCCTCGTGCTGGTGACGTACAGTTACTGAGCCTCGTGCTGGTGACGTACAGTTACTGAGCCTCGTGCTGGTGACGTACAGTTACTGAGCCTCGTGCTGGTGACGTACAGTTACTGAGCCTCGTGCTGGTGACGTACAGTTACTGAGCCTCGTGCTGGTGACGTACAGTTACTGAGCCTCGTGCTGGTGACGTACAGTTACTGAGCCTCGTGCTGGTGACGTACAGTTACTGAGCCTGGTGCTGGTGACGTACAGTTACTGAGCCTCGTGCTGGTGACGTACAGTTACTGGGCCTCGTGCTGGTGACGTACAGTTACTGAGCCTCGTGCTGG